TAACTAATTAAAATAAAATCACTTTTTTTTCTCAACTAATCAAATTAAAATATTTAATAACATTTTTATTAATTCATAAATTTAGATGTATATAGGTTTATAAGTTATAGAAATACAACGAAGCGGGAGAGCGGGAGAGCCGGACAGGCATTATGCTTGGAACCTTTGCCATTGGGAGAATGCTTCATTGGCTAAAAGTGTTTTATAGAATAAAATTTACTTAAAAGTGTTTTATAGAATAAAATTTACTATATTTGGTGTACAAAATCTCTCATATACTAAGTCGATAAAAAAATTATTTTAAAAAATTATTATTATTACTTTTTTCATATTTTTTTCATTTGAGAAAAAAATAAAGCTTTTATCCATACATGAGGCTATGGGTAACTCCTATCAGTATATATATACAAAGTTTAACTTAATTTTTTACTTTAATTTCTTTTGTTTATTATCGATTGAAAGAAGAATATTGTGGCATTTCATTGCTTTATTTGAATTGTTCAATTGATTTTATTTTTTTCATCATTTTTATTTTTATATTGCTTAGCTTAGTTTTTCTTTTATTTATTGCGGCATTTTTATTTATTTTTATTTTTATTTTCATCAATGCGGCATTTCGAGTCCTCTCAATTGAAAATGTTTTCATCAATTTGGTGAGCTTAGAGGAAGATTATTCATTGTTGTGTAGCCTGCAGCGTTTCAAAATTTTAAGTTTTATTTTTACTAAATTTATTTTTTAATAAATAATATTATAATATGATATTTGAAATTTTTTTAATATTTTATTTATTAGCGTTTCAAAAATTTTTAAGTTTATTTTTTAAACTAAATTATTTATTAAGTAAATAATATTAATACGATATGATATTTGAAATTTTTTTAATATTGTTATTTAATTAAGATATTCAGTTCAGTAATTTAAATATTTTATTGTAGCAGATTAGATGAAAAAAGAAAGAAAATATAATTCCTTTTTATTAATATTTTTAATGTTTGTAACGATTTGATTGAGATGATATCTTCTTAATAATAAAATTTAAAATTAGAAATACTACATAATATTTTATTTAAGAGAGATAAAAAAGAAGAAAAATATATTATTTTATTTAAGAGAGATAAAAAAGAAGAAAAATATATTATTTTTATTAATATTTTTTTAATTATGTTTGTAAAATTTGATCGAATATATTATTTAAAAAGTAAATTTTCAAATAGAATTTACATAATTAAATTTGGAATCACAGACAATTGAAATTTTAATTTAAAAATAGATAATATTTTATTGATATATTTATATACGTTGAAATGTTTTTTTGTTAGGGTCACTTTTGGGGGTTTAAAGAATTTGTGTATATATGCTTATATTACTTTCTCTGACGCACTGAGTAAGTAATGCTGCAACTGTAGCCAAAATAATTTTCATTATCAATTCAAATCATCTCTCATTTTTTTTCTTTTTATTTTTACTTTTATTATAATTGTATATAGATATTGATCTGGAGTTGAGGGCAGGGGTTGGAGAATGAGTGACGGCTTGATTTTCTTTTTAAGCACCTATTAAGATTTAAAAAGTCTGCATTTATAAATTAGGGACTAAAGAATTAGGTCTTGGGATTGGGTTGAACATTATTCTTAAACCACTTCATTATATATAAAAAATATATTAAGTACATAAGCGGTAACACTGCAAATAGTTTCTAAGGGAAAGTAGAATACAAATTAACCACTTGTATTTATTTTAATCTAAATAAAACTTATGCTTTAATATTATGTATATAAAAAAATGAGAATATAACAGCATAGTCAACGTGCAACGCATGTCATACAAAATACTTAGTATATATAAATGTGGGAATAAGGGGAGGTATAACGAGATTTTCGATATCTCCCTTAATGAAATTTGAAAAATTCAAAAATAGCTTAAGTCATAGGCAATTAAAAAATTACGTTTTATTAGTTGATTGGATATAATTTATAAGTTATAGCCAATTACAAAATTACATTTTACATTTTAAATTTTATTTTTTTAAATTTATTTTTAATATATATATGATAATGAGATATTTGAAAATTTTTATATTTTATTTTTTAACTATTTAATTTTATTTTGATTATAATTTAAAATATTTAATCAATGAGAGAGATAAAAAAAAAGAAAAAAGAATATTATTTTTTCTTTATTTTGTTGATTTGATTGGATATATTTTTTTAAAAATATATATTTCAAATAGAATATACATAATATTTTATTTAAGAAAAGGATAAAAGAGGAAAAGGTATATTTTTTTGTATGGTTGTAGGGAAGATTGATATTTTATTTGAAGAGGATAGAACATTTCTTTTATGTAATTTTTTTATTAATTAACTTATATATTTATTTTAAATTTACAACTTAAAACAATAGAGAAACAAAATGCTTAAATAAATTTATTAACAGACCAATATTGGATCCTGTTATGATTTGCTTTACAATTTGCAATTATTGATTTGGTTTTAGGCTTCTTTTTTTTTTTTTTTTTTTTTTTTTGCAATTATTGATTTGGATTTTAGGGCTTCTTTTGTTTATTTTTTTTTTTTTTTTTTTTTTTTTTTTTTGCCTATCAATATCAAATTTCATTAAATTATTGTCTTTCCAGTTAAAGAAGGGATTGATTTTGGAAATTCAAATTGGAAATATTTTAATATAATTTGTTTCTTATTATATGTTGAATTGTGAAAAGAGTTCTATTTTTAATAACAAGTTTTTATTTTTTTTATTTTCTTTTTTGTTACTGAATTAATATTTAATTACTATCACTAAATTAGTAAGAGATTTATATTTTGATGATTAAACATTTTTAATTTTTTTAAATACCTTTTCTCTTATATTTTGAGTATGTTTGACTTGAAAGAAAATAATATTTATGAAACAAAACTACAATTATATATTTCTTTCTCTAATGCACCGGGTAAATAATATTGTCTCCATAACCAAAATGATTACCATTATCAATTCACATCATCTTCTTATTTTTTTTTATCTAGTAGTAAAAAATAATTTTTTTATAATTTTTTATTATATTTGTATATAGATATTGTTTTGGAGTTGAGGGCGAGGGGTTGGGGATTGAGTGATTGCTCAATTTTTTTTTGGACACCTATTAAGATTTTAATAATCTATATGTATAAATGAGGGACTAAAGGATTAAATTTAGGGATGAGATTGAAGTTTATTTTAAGATTATTTTTATTATATAAAAATAAATTTAATATATAAAAAGTAATATTATAAGTAGTTTGTACGATAAAATATACTACAAATTAATCAATTGTATTTATTTTAATCCTGAGAGTATTATTTATATAACAGATTAATTACTTTAATTAATTTTACCTAAAAATAAATTATTAATTATATATTTATTAGTCAATGTATAAGTTATAGGGATGATAATCGTTTATAACACAATAGGTAACGTGACATATAAGCCAACTTTGTGAAATTAAATTCAAAGTATTTTAATTTTTTACATTTTTGAAATAAAATTTATGTGCTATTAAAATTAATAAAGTAATTTAAAATTAATGATAAAAAATATCCACAAAACCGATTTATAATATAGCCCATGGCTCACGATACGTTGTCAATCCTGTGGATAATGACCTGTTGCCCAACACAACAAAAGTCAAGTAAGAATATAAAACTAAAGTCACTAAAAAAGAACAAGATTAATGCGACTGAAGACAAAAAAGAGCACTCGGCTCTCTTTCCAAAATATAAATTTGAATATAGCATGTGGATTAAATAAATTTCGAGTGCAGGATAAATACAGACGTTCGTTTTGCCCAGCTCGGTACGAGCGAAACATCACAACCTATGAAAACCATCGATCAGGATCACCTTAATCTTTATATATTTAGTAAGATTGACGAATAAAAAAAGGTCACAAAATAAATCAACATTTTCTCTGCTTTCTATGTTCGAAGGTTAAAACCAACCAAAACCCGGTCTCCCTTACCATTCATCATTCCAGTCATATCCTGCGCCACCTGGAGACTTTCACTCTGCGCTTCTCCATTCCTGTAGGCCATATACACTCACCATTCTCTCTGTCCTGTTAAACAAAAAAAAAAAACATAAGAAGCAGCTCACAAACCCACCACCACGCACCATTACAGCACCATCCGATCGCAGGCTCGGCCGAATCCTAATGAAGCCTAAAAAATTTACCTTGAGAACTCTTCAAGCTCACCAGTTTTGTCTCCTCTTAGGTGCTTTCTTCTGTTCTTTAGGGTTTGTAAAGGATCTTATATAAGCTGATATACGTAACAGAGGAGGAAACCCGGAGAATAGATTCTTTGTTATGAGAATGTACTGATTCCGCCCACCCCAGCGATCCGATCTGGGATCAGCTTGGCGGGCGGTTCGGGTGATTTTACGGGTCTATCAAAACGTGGAAATTGCTATATATTGATCTAGCGTAGTAAAGTGGCATAGCGCGCTGTTCTTACTTGAAGTAACCAGTACACAGCGAAAAACTTGTAATGGAACTAATGTTAATTGGGGAATCGGGTTTTTATTAAGAATAAAATAATTGTCGACGTTGGCGAGGCTTCATTTGATGTTTCTTTAAGTGGCTCATAAGTGTTGACAATGTTTGAAGTTTAGCTAATTATATATATATCTTGTACATCACGAGACGGGGCCGTGAGTGGGCAATGCGACTATGAGGACTTAGATCTATCAGAACAGAGGTAATGTGTCCTATTGTATCTTCGGAGAGGTAAAAAAAAAAAAAAAAAGAAGCAGCTCACAAACCCACCACCACGCACCTCGCACCACCGATCGCAGCTCGCCGGAATCTAATGAAGCCCTAAAAATTTTACCTGAGAACTCTTCAAGCTCACCAGTTTGTCTCCTCTTAGGTGTTTCTTCTGTTCTTTAGGGTTTGTAAAGGATCTTCTATAAGCTGATATACGTAAACAGAGAGAGAAGGAGATAGATTCTTGTATATTGAGAAATGTACGTGGTTCCGCCACCCCAGCGATCCGATCTGGGATCAGCTGGCGGCGGTTCGGGTGATTTACGGGTCTATCAAACGTGGAAAGGCAGTAATGTAAGTCCTTCTATTCTCCAGTCACAACTTGTAATGGAACTATTTTAATTGGTGGAATCGTTTTATTAAGAATAAATATTCTTATTTGATTTCTTAATTCAATTGAATTGAAGTTTACTAATTGTATGTTAAAATGAATTTGAAGTTGAACAAGTAGGTTTGTACTTGCTTATTTTTATTTGTAGTATTCGCATACTTCTCTTATTATAATCTGGTAAAGTTAACATGAAGTATTGGGTTTATAAAATCTACTTTTGAAGCTGAAGTAGGTTAGGATTTTTTGATCAGTGTAAGCTACTTTTACAAGTTAATATATTGTGTGGAGGAGCTATTCATACTTTTCTGAACTAGCTAGCAGTCAGCTTTGATCGATATGGACATAGCTATAGACTTGTTATTATCAATCTGTTTTTCTTGGGGCTTGAATTTTGACATTGAGTTTGTACTTTTCTGGTGGTTAGCATTTTGTAAATTGTTTGTCTTGCAACCGAATAAAGTAATTTCCTACTGTTTGTTTCGCATTTGTACTTCTCATTTTGTTTTCTGTGGCATTTTTGCTTTTTATTTGTTTGGTAATGTATTATAGCGCTTTTCAAAATGCAATACTGCAAACGATGCATTGTTGACTTGGCAAAACTTTGAATTAAAACTTTTTTCTTCAAAAGGGAAGTAAAGGAGCAAAAAGGGATTGCTTCATGAAGTTACTGAGAATTTATTGACTTGATGATATTTATATAATGTGAGAGCTTCAAAATTCCTTAACTCTGTTGTGTGTTTCTTAGTAATTGCAGTATTGTAGTTGTAGAGTTATATTTATTGGTCATGGTTGATTGCCACATGGAAAAACCATCAGATTTGGGGTCTGTCCCAATTCCCTAGGTGTATAAGGTTCTTTCTAGGAATTTAATTGAGCCTAGGCAGCCGAAATTTGAAGGCATGCTATAAATTAATGTTAGTTGTGGGGGTCAGCACATCTATTACAGTGATTTTTTTTAAGAATTTAATTTTATATGTTCTTCCGCAGATATTTTTCCTTCAGGGGAGGTTTGTTTTTGGACCGGATGTAAGATCACTTGCACTGACTATATTCCTTATAGTTGCTCCAGTTGCAGTTTTCTGCATCTTTGTTGGCAGAAAACTAATGGATGATTTTTCTGATCACTTGGGAATATCAGTCACAGCTGTTGCTGTTGTATTCACCATATATGTGAGTTATCTCTCTATCTCTCCTTCAAGTTCAAATTAAATTAATGTGTCATTTTAGATCTTTAAACCTGCACTATGGTTTTTTCTATATATAAATTAGTAACATTGAGGAATTTCTGATATCCCCCCATCTTTTCTAAATTTACCTATTCAGCAATGCTGGTAAGGACTAAGGAATAGTAAATTGATTGTGGTGTGTGGTTGACAATTGTTCTTTCTCATTTTATATAGACCCACAGGCATGCTTGACTGTTGCTAGAGCATGCACCATTTTAAATGAAAAACTGTTACATGGTTTTTATCAAGTAACAGTTGACCAAATTGCTGACCTTACTTGATATTGGGATGCAATCCATATTACACCTTAGGCAGGTGATTGTTACACTTTTGCATTTCTCCAGCAGCAAAAGCCTCATGAATGAGTATGATCACATATTTAAACAGTCATATGCTTCAGCCTGATATGAAGGAAGGAATAAAAAGGGTTATTAAAGGTTAAGTAGAGGGCATTATTAGAGTGAATACTTTTAGAATACTTTTAAACACCAGGCAGGAATTTAGTTTTAATAAATTTAATGTGTATCAATGGTAACTTAGGTAGGATTGGCAAAAATTGCCACCTCTAGCTGTGTATTTGCGGATGAACATGGTGAGTTATAGCTGATTTTTATGATTTACAACTTAGAGGATAAATGTCTTCTGCAGGAGTAATCACAATGGATTTGTGCCATTGTTCTAATTTTTTTGATGAATTTCTTGCTAAGAATATTGGTGAACCTTTTAGAGGGATGTTCACCTATTTTCTAAACCTGTCAAGCATTTTCTTTAAATATTAAAAACATCGGAGGGCGTAGCCCTTCTTGTCAACCTTAGTCCATCATCAGTGCCACTGCTAACAATTCCAGCCTCTTTTCCATAGTCAAAGGCTCTTCAGAGTTCAGATTGAATGTAGACTATAGATAATTGCATACTTTTTGCATATATCTCTTCCTTTAGTTGGTGGTATTAATGTTATGGTCAAGTATCCATTCTCACTGGAAGAAAAAAAAAAGGATCATGTAAACTACTTGCTATGTTTTATGTATTTTCTGTTAAATAGACACACATGTGAATGTATAAATCTCTCTCTCTCTCTCTCTGTACACACAAGCACCTAGGTGATTGTGCTGACATAAAATTTCAACTTATCCTCGAGTCTCATGTTTATTTTCTTATGTTTTGTACACTTGTGCTGGAGTTGCAATATATGCTTGGCTTGCTTTGGATATGGATATGTAAATGTATGCCACACTTGTTGATGGTACCTTCATCTTGTGGTAGACAGTTTTTGCCTCTTTGTTCACTTCCATTTTTAGTTATCCTAATTCACCTTCAAACTCTGTCAAACCATGTATACAGCTTTTGTTTTGTGCGTGCGTGTGTGGAGGTGGTATTTTCTTTCCTGATCCAAACCCAACCAAAAAAAAGGGTCAAAACCCCTAAGAAATTTTGCTAGATCCAAATGGCTTGAAACTATTAGGTTCCAAGCAGAGTAATCAGGAATAATTTAGTTTTTTTATAAAAAACTCCCAAATATAAACATAATTATATATATTTGAAAAAGATTAAAAAAATTTGAAAAATTACAAAATACCCAAAAATAATATTAAAATTGCCAAAAACAAAAAAGCACAATTAATTAAAAATAACTCGAAGAACCCCAAATGACAAAGTTGACTATTGGGACCCACACCTGCCCAAAAAAGGTTGCACTCAAACTGATCCAACGCAATTCCTGAATGTGTGCATTTGTGTGAATGTGTTGTAGTAGGTTGTTGCAAAATGTTATGCAGCATAAGGCACTGTCACTAGATGCCTGTGCCACTGCTTGCAGGCACACTTTAGGCTAATTTTAGATGTTGATTCCTTTGGAAATAATATCTTTCCCAGAAGTGGAAGCATCAATATGTTCTCAATCCTTTGTGCAGTGTCTTCTATGAGTAAGATAGCTTATGTGGATTTCCTGTAATATTGAACTCCAACATGTGTAATGTCTCAGGTTTTAGTTCTTCTCCTGCTAACCTCTGGAAGAGACCCTGGCATAATTCCCCGCAATGCACATCCTCCAGAACCAGAAGGTTTTGATGGAAATGCAGATGTTGGTGCTGGCCAAACTCCACAGTTACGGCTACCGCGCTTCAAGGAGGTAGAGGTCAATGGAGCAGTTGTTAAGATTAAATATTGTGATACTTGCATGCTTTACAGACCTCCTCGCTGTTCGCATTGTTCAATATGCAATAACTGCGTGGAACGATTTGACCACCACTGCCCTTGGGTTGGGCAATGTATTGGGTTGGTAAGTGTCTTTGTTTGGATTTATGTTACTTTGGTCATGCTCAATTTATAGTGAAACAAGCAAAATACTATTATACACTGGAGAATGTCTCAAATTTTGGATTGACATTTTTATGTTTTGGCATCTTTTCGCGTGAAATCATTTTCTATTCGAACAGAGGGCAATATCTAGACAGATACAAGCTTGACTGATTTCACCTCAAATTCTGATATGACCCATTATTTTTTGAGGATAGGTGTTTTAAAAACTTTGATCAGAAATCATATATTCAAATGTTAATATATTGATCAAGTAGATATTATATGTATAGGAATAGGTTCATGAATTCGGATACATGTTGCTGATCATATGTTTCTGGGATTAATGTTGCATAAAATGCTGGCACTAATAATTGTTGAGGCTAATTTGATGGTCTTTTGAATCTTATTACTTCATGGAATATTTGTCTGATGGCAAAATTCTTTTTGTGCAGAGAAATTATCGATTCTTCTTCATGTTTGTTTTTTCAACAACCCTTCTTTGTATTTATGTTTTTGCATTCTGCTGGGTCTACATTAGGAGGATCATGGGATCAGAAAACACATCAATTTGGAAAGCAATGATCAAAACCCCTGCCTCCATTGTTTTAATAATTTACACTTTCATATCAATGTGGTTTGTTGGTGGCCTTACAGCTTTCCATTTGTATCTGATTAGTACAAACCAGGTAAGAAATGCATCTTCCTTGTGTCACTGCTCTTTTTTAGTAAAATCCATTCATGCCTTAGTTCAAGTCTCTGTTGTAAGATGTTAAAATAAGTTGGTGTTTGTGTTGCTTCTTGCTTTTCAGACTACTTATGAGAATTTCAGATATCGATATGATCGGAGAACAAACCCCTATAATAAAGGCATGATTGAAAACTTTAAAGAGATCTTTTGCTCTAGTATTCCTCAGTCAAAGAACAATTTCAGGGCGAAGGTGCCAAGGGAACCTGCATTACCAACTCGACCAATTGGTGGAGGTTTTATGAGTCCTAATATGGGGAAAGCTGTCGATGACATAGAAATGGGTAGGAAAACAGTATGGGGAGATATGGGCACCATGGCTGATCATGGCGAAGGGCAAGTTACAAACAATGGTCGCTTGAACATAAAAGACGGTGAGTTAGGTGAGGTATCCCCAGATATAAGGACTGCAGTGGAGGAAGGGGACCGCAGTGGAATACATCCAAGACGATCTAGTTGGGGAAGAAAAAGCGGAAGCTGGGAGATGTCACCTGAAGTTCTTGCTTTGGCAGCCAGAGTTGGGGAACCAAACCGTGCGGGCGGGAGTAGCAGTGGTAACTTGGCAACTGAGAACCAACATTCATAGCCAACAGTTTGTCTTACAACCAACGTAGAGAACAGAAAAGGATTTGATATGCTGAATACAGGGCGAGACAATTGAGTCCTTATTCTCATCATTCAACATGGGAATTATGTTATGTGCAATATGGGGGGAAACTGTTTTTAGCCGGGTGTTTGAATGCTTTGGTTTGGCCATTGTGCTTCTATGGGGTGTGGTGTTGTATGAGTGATCCTTTTTTCTTTTTTATAATTTTTTTTTTAGTTTTGTTTTTGTATTTGTGGAATTAGTTAGCATCTAATTTTATCTTATTTCACTTGCATAACCGGTGAGTATTGTCTCTCTCTCTCTCTCTCTCTCTCTTTCTGAAGTACTGAAAATCAAGCTGGCTGTGGGTTGGTGAATTCTGTGGATTAATGAATGGGTCAAGCAGAACCTAAATTGGGAAATACCATTATTTGCTTCCATAACGAGTTAGCATATATATAAAACATGTACCAGAACTTTGTAGTGGTAGCTCTTCTATAGTACTCCTATTTTTGGTTTATTTTTGTGATTGTGCCAATGAAGCAAATTCAATTTTGTTCTATTATTTCAAAAGCATTTTCCTGCAAGACAAGGTGAATGTAGAAATAACTTGATATTCAGGAGCTAAGAGGAGAAAAGGGTGGCTTCATCAGTATTAGTATATTTTATCAAATCTTAGAGATCAGTATAAATAAGTTGAGTAGGGCCAATTAAAATTGGATTTTGATGATAATGGTGGAAGTTATGCCATTTGGACTTTTGGTCACATGGTTAGGTGTTTGAAACAAGTATTTATAGGCAGAGATCCATAATCCAAAACTGGACTGGATTTACACTTGAAATTTACGATTCAACCTTTCCTGTGACTCTTTGCATATTTACGATTCAACCTTTACCGTGGCTTTTAAATCTTATGGATAATCTATTATGCACTTGAATTTATAAATTTTGGAAGAAAAAGCGGGAGCCTGAGGGGAGAGTAGTCACCTGAAGTTCTTCGCTTGGCAGCCAGAGTTGGGGGACGCAAAACCGTAGCGGGCGGCCGCAGTAGCAGTGGTAACTTGGCAACTGTAGAACCAAACATTCATGAGCCAACACAGTCTGTCTTACAACCACGTATGACCCTGAACAGAAAAAAGATACCTTTGAATATGCTGTAATACCTAGGGCGAAGACAATTTGAATTGTCCTTATTCTCATCATAGTACAAAGTGGTTGGAAATTATGTTATGTGCAATATTGTGGGGTTGTAAACTGTTTTTAAAGCCGGCAGTGATTGATGTGATAATTTTGCTTATATGGTTGCAGCATGAGTCTTCAGGCTAATATTAATGAGAGTTGGTGTCGTATGAAGTCGATCCCTTTCTGCTGTTTGTATTTAGGATATATCATATTTTTTCTTTTAGTTTCGGCCGTGATTTATCGAAGCGTCTGTTCTTTAATCTAAGCTAGATATAGTGTAGGTTTTTGTAATTTCTCACCATTAGTTAGGCACTCTAATTTATCTTATTATCACTTGATAAACGGGTGAGGTATTCGTCGACGCTCGCGCGCGCGCGTCATGGCTCTGTCTCTCTCTAATAATGTGTAACTTGGAATGTGAAAATCAAAGCTGGCTTGTGGGTTGGTGATTCTTGTGGATTAATGAATGGGTCAAGCAGAACCTATAATTGGGAAATACCATTCTCTCTCTCTCTCTCTCTCTCTTTCTGAAGTACTGAAAATCAAGCTGGCTGTGGGTTGGTGAATTCTGTGGATTAATGAATGGGTCAAGCAGAACCTAAATTGGGAAATACCATTATTTGCTTCCATAACGAGTTAGCATATATATAAAACATGTACCAGAACTTTGTAGTGGTAGCTCTTCTATAGTACTCCTATTTTTGGTTTATTTTTGTGATTGTGCCAATGAAGCAAATTCAATTTTGTTCTATTATTTCAAAAGCATTTTCCTGCAAGACAAGGTGAATGTAGAAATAACTTGATATTCAGGAGCTAAGAGGAGAAAAGGGTGGCTTCATCAGTATTAGTATATTTTATCAAATCTTAGAGATCAGTATAAATAAGTTGAGTAGGGCCAATTAAAATTGGATTTTGATGATAATGGTGGAAGTTATGCCATTTGGACTTTTGGTCACATGGTTAGGTGTTTGAAACAAGTATTTATAGGCAGAGATCCATAATCCAAAACTGGACTGGATTTACACTTGAAATTTACGATTCAACCTTTCCTGTGACTCTTTGCATATTTACGATTCAACCTTTACCGTGGCTTTTAAATCTTATGGATAATCTATTATGCACTTGAATTTATAAATTTTAATAATATTATACATCTTTTGACCCTAATATTAATAATTTTTTGGATTTTTGACTTTTATCTTAATATTGACTTGATATGTAGTTAGCATGACTTTTAGAACAACTTTTTATAAATTTTAATTTTTTTAATGAGTATTTAATTGATTTAATTTAGCAAGTTGAAATATTCAATAAAATAAATTTGAAAACTGAAATATTTAATAGGTGTAATTTTATAAATTAAAGTATTTAATGAGTCAAAATAAAAATTAAATGTGTCACAAAATTAAAGTAATAAATTTTATGGGGGAATTTATGTACTCGGCACTAATGGATAAAGGATTCCTGAGGTTTTTAAAGAACAAAAAGAAGAAAATTTTGCAAATTACAAATTAAAAATAGAAAAACAACAGAAAAATAACAGAAAGTCAAAGGCAGGGACTAGAGAGGTAACTGTCTAGTCAACAAACACAGAGACTAGAGTTTTTATTGCTCAATTAACCTCAAACCCGTCACTGTTATAGGCTTATAACCAGAAAACCCAGGGCACAGGGAGTATTTTGTAATATTACATAAAATAAAAGCTACATTACACCTATGTCACACATTAATGGTATTGGGAAATTGAGTAGTGTTACTCTAAAGAAAAAAGGAAATTATATAGTGTTTTCAAGTTTCAAATCTGTGATGGAATGATAAGTCCTGATGAGTAAAAAATATAAATAAAGAAGAGAGAGAAGATGAAGAGAGGTCATTAAAATCCAGAACCAAAAAATATAGCTAGCTTAATTGGCTTTCACCTTTATTTTCTTATTTTCATTGTATTTTTTACCACTCTCAGTGAGTCTTCTCTCTTTATTCTTTACATAAGAGAGACATTACTATCAGATGGTTTTGTATTGAGAAAAAGGAAACTCATTTCTTGGCAATGTAAGAAGTGAGCAAAATCTGGTGACAGTAGGTGAGGTTCTTGATCTTGTCTTAATTTCATATCTTATTTCTTATATAGGTCAATATTTTATGGACTTTTAGATGATGTTTCTTTTTTATTATTATTATTTTGTTTTTTTTCTTTCTCTGTAATGTTGTCTCTATACTGTTTCTTGCCACCTACTTTTTGTTTTAATATGAAAATACATGTTGATTTGATTGGTATGTATATACAGAGGTATAATATTTCTTTTTCTTATTTTTCATGACAGATATGTTTAAGAACCAACTTCAAGAACTTGCACAAAGAAGCTGTTTCAATCTTCCTTCTTATGGCTGTATTAGAGAAGGACCTGATCATGCACCAAGATTCAAAGCTTCTGTTAACTTCAATGGCGAGATCTTTGAAAGTCCAAGTTACTGCACTACATTGAGACAAGCAGAACATGCAGCAGCTGAAGTAGCCTTAAATGTTCTTTCTTCTAGAGGCCCTTCAAGGTCTCTAACTGCAAGAGTTCTTGTAAGCTGTTTTTTATTATTATTGGGAATTCTTTTCTTTTTTTATTAATGAATATTAAAGAATACCCATTTATTTATTTCTCATTTTGGAAATTAATGATCTAATGAAGGATGAAACTGGAATTTACAAGAACCTTCTTCAAGAAACTGCACATAGGGCTGGGCTTAATCTTCCTGTATATACTACTGTGAGGTCAGGTCCTGGTCATGTCCCAACTTTTACTTGTACTGTGGAGCTTGCTGGTATGAATTTTACAGGTGAACCAGCCAAGACAAAGAAACAAGCAGAAAAAAATGCAGCTATAGCGGCTTGGTCTGCTTTGAAAAGAAGTAATTTTTTTTCCCATTTTTGGATTTCACCTTGTACATATTAAACTACCGTTTTATAGTACGATACTTATTTCTTTATTTTGGTATGATTAATTTACATTTTTTCTTTTCAGTGCCTAATCTGAATTCTTTGACAAACAAAGAAGTTGATCAAGCAGTTCTTGAAAGAGTCCTATCAAATTTTAGATCCAAAGAAGAATATAGACAATCAAGAAAGAAAGATTATGGCCAGTCAAGAAAAAGAATGGTTAGGGGTTCTGCATCATCATCAACGTCTTCTTCTTCTTCTTCTTCTTCTTCTTCTTCTTCAAACCCTCATAATAACTCCCTACAAAAACAAAATTGGAAGTTATTGGATCTTTTATTGGATTCTGCTTTAGAACATTCAATAAAAAATCAAAGCTCTTTTGTTTCTCTCCTTCCTCCACCACCACCAAGAACAGCTTCAAAGATTTTGCCACCAACGACAGATAATCAAATTCCATACTCATCATCAAGAATGGTCATCAATCAAATTCAAGATAATAAGGGCAAGATTCAAGTTCCAATAGAAGAGCATAAAAATGATGAGGAAGAATGGCTAATGGGTATCAAGAAACCAATTGAAAAGCAAAATTCAACTTCTTTATACAACCGATTTCCTAATAGCAGAATTCTTGGGTCATCATCATCAAATTATTCAAGAATTCAAATGGGTAACGCTAATTACTATCATCATAGGATTGCTCCAGCAGTGCAAATTAGGTCAGTGATTCCAGTATGTGCAGCACCACCATCAACAACATCAGTAATTACTGCTTCATCTTCTTCAAAATCTCCAACAAAGGCAGGAGCAGCAGAGGTTTCAGTGGTTAATACCAAGACAGAGTCAAACCCAACTGCTCAGCAACTCAGTACTGAATTGAACAAGAAGCTACAGTTATGAAATGAAAAAGGAAACTAGGAAAAAAAAGAATATAATTAGAAAAAATTTTCTAGCCAGTTTTCAGTTGATGGGTTGTCACCTAATTAATTGCAATTAGTGTATTTTTTGCCTCTCAACTAAATTAAGAACACAAAATCATGGCTTTGGTTTGGGTTTTGTCTAATGGTCTTCTGATTAACTTTTGTACTTGTTAGATGATATAAATTTTACAACTTCCACCTTCATCTATACATTTACTGCACCAGAAGAAAGAGACAGAGAGAGCATTAAATGGGATCTGGAATGGTGGGTTGCAGAAGATAAGAGGGGTAGCAAATAGCAATGAAGGCACAGTCTGAGAGAGGACGAACAGAAAATTGCAGCGATAAACGGGAGCAATTAATTTACTCTCTCTCTCTCTCTCTATTATCAGACCAGAATTTATTAGTCTTGTCTTCTCCATTAATGCACTCTTCCTTCTTTTTCTTATGTTTCTGTGGTTCTCATCTCTTGCTTCTATACTCTCTTTTTTCATTGCCATTTTCCCATTTATCCTTTTCTTTTTTTAATTTAATAGAGGGATTATTACAGGATTTGAAGTTCGAATAATTTATGTGATAATTAGTAAATATTATGGAACTGATATATTTAACTATTGCATCACTGAGCAATAAAATTAATAAATTATCAATTTCATACTGTTGAACTTGTGGTAATATTGGAGAAAGAAAGAAAGAAAGAAGGTTTTGTTTTTCAAATGTTTTGAACTCATAGAAACTAGCCGTTAAGCTTAGAGAGGGTATATTGGGTATTTGATGTTCATAGAGGGTAAACTAGTAATAATATATATATTACCCTCTACCACCAAAGATAAAATATTAGATTGATCCTTGAAATTTTATTTTTTTTTTATTTTTATTTTTTTTTAAATTGGTCCATTTAGAATCTTTCGTGGCCCTATTGGAGAATTATGAGTTTAGAAACAAATTTGTTATTGTGAAAGGGACTAAACTAAAAGGCTTTATAGCTATGGGCCAAAATGCAGAGGGCTTTGTTGTGTTTTGAGGAACAAGAAGAAGTTAAGAACACATCATGTATGGTCGAGCCCCACATAGGTTAGCAACATGTTTTGATCAGACGGTGGTAAATATGGATGGAAAAGGATTTGATTAGGCAGTGAACAAGAAGCTGTGTCAGTTTAGCACATATAATTTTGATTGATTTGAAGTTTTTGAGGTCCTACAAAACCAAACATGTTTTCTGTGGCTAAAATCATTGCCTTTCAACCAAACATGTTTTCAATTTAGTTGGTTGAGTCTGGATCCAACAACACTTTGCACCTGTACTACCAATAAAGTGTTGATTGCAACAGTAATTATTTCAATATCTATAAAAGTGATAATATAAATTCAATTCTTCCCGAAAAAATGCACTTTTTTGGGAGATAAAAAACTTTTATACTCTACTGATGGATTATACCTCCTAGTTAAAAAAAAAAAAAAATTGTTTGTATGATTTTCAAGTTGGAATGTGCTTAATTGAATTTTTATTTATTTATTTATTTATTTTTTTTGAATGGGTGCTTGAATTGAATTTGATATAGCTATGGACTTCTAAAAATACTGAGGTTGGGTCCACAAAGTTTTATTTAGAACTCAAAATAACAAAGGCGCACAACCAAAATAGCCATGCTATGGAGTCCAATTTTCTTGAATGAAACTTAATATCATAATAATGACATATAATTGGTAATTTGTGAAATAGGTCATGTGAAAAGTTAAGACATCTCGCTATTTTTTAATAAAAACAAAAGTAAAACTATTACTTAACAAAATTGTGTACAAAAAATAATTTTTTTCGTCACACAAAAATATATTTATTTTTATTTTCATACTGATTAAAAATAATTAGTTAATATATACAGTTTGGACTGTAAATTTTGTCTATATTTTTCTAATTACCCCTCTATTAATTTTAATTTCATAATATTTCATGCCAATTCAATGAGAAAACTTTTTATAACAAAGTAAATTAAATAGGAGTATATTAAAAAAAATAAATTTATTATCCTCTAAAAAAAAGAAAGTAAATTATAATTTGGGATATATAAAAAAGAAGAGCAATCTTTACATCACCAAGAGAGTAACAATTTTTAATTAGTTAAATACATTTTGAAATAATATATATTTAGCAATTCCTTCGGTGGTTGTAATCAGACATGTCAGTAATGTAACACCCCTTTCCGGTTCACCCGTAAATCCGAATGAACCGAACCGAGACGCTACAAACTGGTTGACTGTATGGCCTGACATGCTGAAATCATAATGTATATTGAATACAATAGCATGCTGATACTGTTTACAAAAATAAAATCATAATGTAATTTGAATAACAATAGCATGCTGAATACTGTTTACAAAAAATAATGTTACAAAACATGATACTAGTTTACAAAATGAAATGGGCCCAACTGTGTGCCCTGTACATGCCATAAAAAGGGTAGAAAAAAAAATACACATCCAATGAGTAGCTACCCTGAAGACTGAGTCTTCTATAGATGAACTGCAGCAGTTGTAAGCCGACTCTCTATGGACCAATCTCAAAATCTGCGAGTTAAACAGGTAACTCGCTGAGCAAATAAGCTCAGTGGATATCTCAACAAATAAGAAACAATCAAGCACATACATGGATAGAAATAAGCATGTAAATGCATATGGATAATTACACATATAAGCACATATAGCATGATCCTTTCATTATACCTTGATTATCTTTTGTACTGTTTATTGTGATATTAATTTGGACTTTTCACCAAAATTGGATGGCTAGGATTGAATGTAAATCTAATCTAATGGCTCCAAATATTCTCCAAATTAAATTCCTTCTCAGCGTGTTGAATTTTATCACGCGTAGGTTGGAGTCTATATTGCTGATTGAAGACCAAAAGAGTAGCATCAGAGCTGAAGAGATATTTTGGTAGTTTATTTTGGTAGTTGATTAGTGTGGGTTATTGTTGTAATTTAAGTATTATGGCATGTATAAGTAGTTCCATTTATATATTGTAAATTAATTGGGGTGTAATTTAGGGACTGGGCGGTGGGTGTTACAATAATATGTATAATCATGAATGTTATGTCAAGATATCTGTAAATGGCTCCATAAGGTTATAGGAAACCGAAGTGATAGAAAAACTGTATGAAACTGGATGAATACTGTATGCTTGGCTCTTGGCCCATATATAATCATATCACGGCCTGTAGCCGGAGTATCAAACTGTATGAGGTGCAGATCTGCTATCCTATGTCGCGACATAGCCTTATCTACATGATTTCTACCTAACCTTAATGGAGCATAATGTTGGTATGTCAATAATATAACACAACATCATATTCATAGTTCATAACTCATAATGTTTATAATGTTTATTTGATTTCACATCATTTGCATGCTTGCATGTTGTTTTGATCCATGTTCTCATGTTGTATTTGATGTTAAAATGATTGGAGGCATATAAGTAAAGCAAAGGAATACAATTGCATTGAAAAAGAAGTCCAAAAATGCATGAAAACACAAGTCGCGAGCGCGTAAAGCACTTCGCCGAGCCGCGCCTTGCAAGGTCCGCGAGCGCGTAATGCACAATGAGAGACAGTGAGTATCGGCACAAGTCGCGGCGCGTACTTGAAAGTCGGCGAGCACGAGAAGTGCCAAATGAGAGACAGTGAGTCCCCAGGCCAAATTTTCGGCGATCGCGCGAATGAAGGTACGAGCGCTTACAGGCCAAGGGCCAGTACGCCAGCGCGCACGTTAAAGTCGCGAGCGCGAGATGTGCAAAATGAGAGTCCAGAGAGTTTTGCGAGCACAAGTCGCGAGCGCGTACTCAAAAGTCGAAGAGCGCGAGATGTGCCAAATGAGAGTCAGAAAGTTTCAGGCGAAGTCGTTGAAGCGCGTAGTTCAAATTCGCGAGCGCGAGAAAGGCAACGCGAACTCGTCATGCATTCCGCGCGCCGCTTCCAGCTGCACTGTTATCTTTTTGGTCATATCTCTCAATATACAACTCCAATTTGAATGATTCAAAACCCCATGTAAAGCTAAACACAATAGAGGAACAAATAACTCTCTATGACACTTCCTAATTCCATCATAAATGGGTCAAAATCAATAGAGTTACTGGTAAAATTTCCCCAGCAAACTTGTTTCAACATAAACTCATATTCCACTTCATTTATTCAATACCCTCCCCCTGTTCTCCCTGTTTCCTCAACCATTACCAGTCCTCCCACATCACATGAAAGCAATATTGTCCAATAGCAACACACCACACAAATCCATACAAAGAAAAATGAAAAAATAACAAGAGATATCAAACCTTTACTCCAAAAGCTTGAGCTCCTCTTTAGTTTCTTTTTCCTTAACAACTCTTTGAACTCCCCTTCACCTATAAAATAAGAATTCTTATGAATTTCTAAACAATAAGCACCAAAATGTTTCAATTATGAAACTTCAAGAAGGTTTACTTACTTGGATAGAAGAAAAATTGAAGTTAAGGCTTAACTACCATTAAAATTGAAAAGTACGGTGGAAGAGGAAGGAATGAAAATGAAGAAGATGAAGAATAAACATGAAAATGGGAAAGTGAAAATTGAGTATTAGGGTAGGCCCATCAAATCAAGGGGATGTTATGTAAAACTTCCTAAAATGGTACCTCAATTGTAACAGGCTCAACTTAATACCCAAACTCAATCTTTTAATGCATCATCCTAGGCTACAACTTAATACCCAAACTCAATCTTTTAATGCAAATCAATCCTCACCCATATGCTTTAATCTTTTCTCTCAATCAAGTAACTCCACTTAATAACTCATTCTATCCCAACCGGGTTTGGTTCAACTCGACTCAACTCGACTACTCAACTCTATGCTAAGACTCGACTCAGTAGGATGTCACAAGTAACTTTATTGATTGATTAATTTTAATAGCTTGTACTCATTTTGAATTCAAAATTTATTTAATTTTGATAAAATTTGATTAAATATGTCAAATTTCATAAAATTAGAAACATAAAACTTTAAATGAATTTTTATTTATACTACGTATAAAAGTTTAAATATAAATAAATTAATCACAAAAAATATGATGAGAGGATGTTGGATTGATAGAGCGCCAAATATGAAATATGAAATCCATATACAGTGAAATGCTAGAATCTCACATTTTATAATTTGGTTATAAAAAAAACTAAAATACATGGATTTGAATGCTATTTTTCAAATAAAATTAAATGATTTGAATTCTATTGTTAAAATAAAATTTCATATGTGATACAATATTTCTTTTCTTTTAAAATGATGAAATCGAGATCGATAGAGCCAATTAATTTTATATATCGTAATCTTTTTTTTTTCTCAAAAATAAAATAAAAAGATACGTTAAATTTATGGAATGATTAAATTTATCACTTAAATTTCATCAATTTAAAAGATTTTAATAT